AAACTAGTGACTTTGGGAAACCCCTCAAAAAGGACTCACCAGGATTTAGAACTGGTAGGATTACTAAGGCACAGTCACTTTAATTAGGAATATCAATGAATCGAGTCGTGGACAAATGGAACGTAATACAAATTTCCACTTTCAACTGTGCCTTCATTTACTTGAGAGTTTTTCGTGGTGAGTAAGCCGTAACTGTTATGGGGAAGAAAGATATGAGTCCTTATCTACCGTGAGAGGGTACTCCATAATCCTCCATGGAAGTCTACATGAAAGCTTTGAAGAGCGACGAGCTCATGTGAAGAAAATGGCATGAGTGCATCTTGGATGCGATCACAATCGCCAATAAGTACCATGGTACTTCCTGCAAGATGGTGTGTGTATTACATGTGTCGACTTGAACTGCGCCTGTTTTTATTGATGTGGCTGTGAACTTTCAATGCCAAGAGCACCAACCAGCTCTTAGGTGGAGATTCAAGAAGAAGGTGCTTCCCTTTCTTCCGGCAGGCAAGTATTAGACCTTTACTTTTAAAAATGTCGAACTCATGGATTTGTATTCTTTCCATTCCTTGAAATGAAAGTTATTCTAGGTTTCGTAAGATGAAGTCTGTCTAGCGCTATTCGGATTGAGTTCGGGTTGAGAGAATGACAGCATACTGGGTTTCACTTTAAAAATGAAATATTTATAGGGAACTTACCTGGCCTTGATGACATGCATTAATTAATGAAGAAGCAAGTAATTAATCGAAATCTGCTTTACCAAATGAAAGAGAAATTTGAACAGAAGCAAATCTTAGGAACTGAATACAGCAAGCCCTCGTCATTCGCTTGGGATACGTTCGTGAGACGCCCGCGAACGGGGAAACTGAGGAAGCTGATACTAAGGGCTTATGGGAAATGGGAGGATAAGTTTCCGACAGACAAAAAGAACCAAATTTCAACAAGAATAAATGATGGAAGAAACAATTGATGAATACATCAGTCGGGACTATATAGTGCTGCTACCCGCGAATGAAGAATCCGCGAATGGCGAGCGATTCTTATACTTTGAGATCATTGATGTCAAATTTTGCATTCTCTTGCTGGTTCAATGACATTCTGGAACATTGTACATTTCATTTTTTATGTATTGCTTCAATTACATGGCTCCTCTCAGCAAAAATAAAACCTGACAGTTACGAGAAAAGAATAAATTGTTTGGATAGGGTGGGCGTCGTTCTAGAGCAGCGACTCCCAAACAGTGGGTCGCTACCCACAGTTTGGATTTGGATTTCTGTGGGTCGCAAACTTTTCTGTACGTCAGCAAGTGGGTCGCGATTCTAAGAATTCTGGGAACCACTGTTCTGGAGGACCACGATTGAGGAAGCCGTTCTATTGCACTCCACTTTCAAACTTGTTCAGCGTGCATTTTTAGAGGCTTTATCAAAAAATACTTTTCGATCTCATACCATTATTTGTCTATCCATTGTTTTTCCCCAAGCTTTGCCTTATAGCTGGATATACGTCTTATAGCCTTATGAGTGATGGATCACAGAGGAGCATTGACGAAAATGAAGTGCCATATCAAGGGGGAGGTGTTAATTGATTTTGACCGCTTCCTCGATAAACTCGTTTTGAAGAACTTGATTCCGCCAGCGGAAGAAAAGGAATTTAGAATCAAGAAGCCATACCGAGACCAGATTGAGGACACTTTCACCTATCTTTCTACGAGAAACACCAAGGAGACATATTATGTTCTTTGCACCGTTCTGGAAGAAATGGGAAGAGGTGACATCGTGAACAAGTTTTCTGGTGAGGAATTTTCTTGAATTGNGAATGACGCCAGCCAACTTCTGAAGTCGAGCAGCGTAGACGACGGCAGTCACGGTGGTACCGGTTGGCAGGAGCTCATAGTACAACATTCCTTCTGAATCCCACCGACAGCAGAGAAGAACCTTCTTCTCGTGGAACCCTGGTTTCGGTTCGTGTGGCGGCAATTCTCCTCGTGGAAGCCACTGACTCTTGCGAGTATGGTTGACGTCGAGGACCCAGCTCTCATCTCCAGCGATAGCCGAGGTCGTTCAGATGGTTGCCGATGGCCATATGGGTGACTCCAAGTGTAGTCACCAATTCGCGAGTGGTGGCGTTCGGCTTCGCGTTGAGGGCGTTCCGCAGGGCTTCGTCAGAAAGTGTTGCAAGACTTTCTTTCCAACCTAATATATCACCTTTTACGTATCACAGGTGATATTTATGCAAACATGTTTTGTATTATCTTGACAATGATTTGCGTAAAAATGATATAAAATGGACAAGAAATTTACATTCATTTTACGTAAAATTAACATAAACATGCTGTTTGGGACATAAATGTCCGCCGGTTTCTTGTATGCAATGGCGCACATGCATCGCTGTGCACAGGTTTCTAGTGTAAGCTCCTGTGCGTTCTCTTTCACCTCAGGATTGTGTGTTGTGCTCGTTTACAATCCCGAGAGCTCAAAATGTGCTTCGTCTGACATAATGGGATTCGCGATAAATCTGTATTGTCACACATTGGGATACAAATTTCTCAAAATGTGATCCTGTTTTTGTTCGTCAGTTTCATTATGTTCCTAGAAGAATTGACTAGCGTATGGGAACATGTGTAAATCATCATGCTGGGAAACCCAATTTTGGGTTGCAATCGTGCCAACATAAGTAGCAAGGTTGTTGGATATGGAACCGGATGTTATTCCCGTCGGCTTTCATATTTCAGTCAACACAATTGATGGCTCACCATTCATATACAAGAATGACGTTTGAAAGATTTCGCAAGAATCTTAAGCAGACTGCCCCTCACGTGATCTTTCCAAAGATGCACAAAGGTCTTGAGCGTCTAAAAGTACCTGACCAAAAATTCGAGAATCCCATTAATATGGAGGACGACTTCGTGTCTGAAAGAGGGTGGCAATATGATATGCCACGAACTTGCTCCACACGACTAAGGCGAATAATTCTAGAAGAGGTGGTTCTCCAATTTTTGTCAAGTGAAAAATACCAGTGATTAGAAAACTAGTGACTTCGGGAAGCCCCTCTAAAAGAAATCGCTATGTTTGGTACAATTATTAACGCACAGGGACTTTAATTAGGCATTTACAGTAATTGAATCGTAGACAAATGGAATGTAGCAACTACACGCTTTCCTTGTTTTTAAGTTATATGAAGTATTTTTTATTCCTCCACGCTTCAAGCTTCATTTCGCAAGCTACCTATATATTTAGTGTATTCCAGACATGCTGTGAGAAATAAAAATTCTGAATGTACAAGGGACTTGAAGACGAACTCAGCATCTTCTGAATGGGATTGGTGTAGCTCATCTTCTATCCCCCTTACTAATCAACAGACATTGACCGAGGCTGCAGAAGCGAACAGATGTTTCTTTTCCCCGTGTATAACTTACTTTAACCGATTTATCCACAGAAGCACCGGGTCCAACGCATCAAAACGGAGGTACACCCCTTCATCGTGAACACTCAACGCCTAATCTTTCAGGGGCAAGGGAAAGGGTGGGGAGGTGAGTTCCTGTTCCTCACTCCAAAAATGCAGGTTGGGCAAGGTGAACAAATTCAGGCTGAAGCAACGTTGAAAAGCACCTTCATCTCTGTAACAAAAAATCAGGGGTGAGAGGGAGAGGGGGGAGAGGGGGGAGGAAATGAATGGCATACAAAAGTTGTAATAAGTACCCTTCTAGGTATAAGTACCCCTTCAAGACATGGCAAGAAAAGCGCGACAGGTTTTTTTAAAATAATCTTAGGATTTGGAATTTTCATTAGAAAACATGAAAAGGAAATTCTCACGTAATGTTCAGCCCTTAGACGCGCACATTCTCCCAGAATAGATCCGCAGCGCGTGTTGTTCTATGCTTTTCGTCTTGGACTTGAGGATTGTAATCAATTCAATTGAGTTCAATTGTTCACACTCAGCACTCGTACATGGTTAACTTTCCCCAAATCTCTCGCACGTATCTAGGCTATATGCACTTGTACGTGTCATTGGCAATTTCTCATGGTACAAAGCAGCCTGTCACATTTGAGTCGTGTCTCACTTTGTTCATCCAGATGTAGTGACATCAATTCCGCTGGCAAGAATGTATCCATTTACCTGCATATTCATTGATGATCGGGATGGATAGGGATTGTTGAATGTGATATTAATACTATTAAAGGGCCAAATAAGTGTTCCCATACTTTCCATTTATTCAGACTTTTATATTATTAAACCATTATTATTAAATGTATTACTACCAACCTGTGCGTCAGTACCTGGATAAGACTGTCTCAGGTGGTTAGATTGGACGCCTTGGATCGGTAGAGTTTCTACCTCGTTTTCCGGACTTCACCCCCTTGACTTTTTCCTTGGGGGGAGGGGAAGACTGTTGTCCGAGTTCAGGAACCCAATAACATCTAAGAATTGAGAAAACAGACCACTAACGCTTTGCAGCCAATCACAGTTGCGTGTTGCGATTTTTCGATATGGGTCACCACGTTTATGGCAGTAAAAAAAATGGTGCCACGCTGCTTTTTCGTGAACTCATTTTTTTCCAATCTGAAAAAGTGAGGCGGGAAAATCGGTCGCACAAAAAAAACACGTTGTGCTCTTTTTAATAGAAAAAAACGCCTCGGTTTTTTTTTAGTGTGAGCAAAATGCAGTTCATTTCTACTGCCTATATAATACTGTACCACATGCATTTATCAAGTAAATGTGAAAAATCGATTTTGAAAAGCCTTCGGATACTTTGGATCACCCTGTGTGCATGTCTTGATATTGCTTCAATAATAAAAGCACCTGAATTAGCGGGAAAGTGTTTTTTTTTTTAGCGACTCTGCATATGCAGTCATGCAAATGATATACGATCTGGTTTTTCTCATTTCTTCATATTGATCGTACGCAATTCATGCAGATGTGTTAAATAATGGTACTTTAGGCCTATCAGTCATCAGCAAATCATGAAATTCACATCCTTCGCTTTCATGCGCTGCAATGAGAGTATGTTGGATCCTCGCAGGTCGGACATTGGAGAGACAGGGAACATCGCAAGGGCACCTGCACAGGTACGGGAATTGTGTTACCACATGGAAGTGTAACTCTATTCAACAGATTGTAGGTCGAAAAGACCAATACAAATACTTTTCGTGCATTTCGTGCAGAGGGAAAAATGAAAAAGTGATAAAAGTGCGGCTTTATGTCTCCACGGAATCAGGTTTCTGCTCGAGTGTAATCCGTATATGAAGACCTATATTTTTCCAATCAGCATAATTTCCTTTTTCTTTTTTTGGTAATGTTCTATTGCAGACTTTGGCCTTACTCTTGAGTTAAATTTGAAGCTCAGAAAGACTTTCCATAAAAATGAAACAGTTTTCGGGCAAATCGTTTCGAGCTATCTACAGTATAGTTCGACTTAACAGGAATTGCCTCCACCCCTTGACAAAATATATAATAAATAAAAATAGAGGAAGATGTTTCTGTCCTAAAGACCCTGACACACAATGCAAAAGAACTTGCTAGCAAGCACTTGCCAACAAACTTGCCTCGTGTATATGTTATGCGTGATTCGTGCAACTGCTCATTGCGCGCATTTCGCAACGTTTTTGCCTATTTCATGAAAAAAGCAACTATCGTGGTTATTGCATGCAATGCCCAACTTTTTTTGCAAATTGCGTTCAATAGGCAAGAAAATGTTGCCGATTGCACGCCTTGAGCAATTGCTAAATTTTTTTAATCCGCTGTCCATTGAATTTCGATATTAGCAGAATTTAGACTTATCAGGATTCGAGTTAACGATTTTCCATTGCATTGCATTTATGGCATGGATGAATTCTTAAGTCTTAGGTCCTCTGAATTGCATTGCATTGCATCTCAAGCTGGATACGATAGAGCAGTGGTTCCCAATCGTTTTTTATTTGCAGAACACATAAGGACGAGGAAGAAAGCCAAAGAACACTAGAGTTTTCATTACCAGTTTTTCAAATTTTTTTTCTATGACTGTAATCAAAGGAAAAATTTTGGCCTTAAAAACAACGGTAGAAGTTGTGAGGTGGGGTTTGAAAAAAAATGCGTGGTATGCCTTAAAAAAAATATATGAGCTATGAAATTGCTCTTATCTTTTACTCAAGTAAATGACAGACATTCTGCAAAATTTTCAAGTTTTTTGAGCTACATAGAAATTGGCACCATATAATTCAAAAAGTTTGTTTTCCGAAATTTGTGCTTTTTGCATATTTCAAGTCATCGCATCTCCTTAAGTGGAATTGATTGGGACAAAAATGGGACACACATCATTATATCTTTTCCCGCTGATTCCGAAAACTTACATGATGGTAAGGTTTTATGAAGATGTTGACATTTTGAAAATATCTGAATATGGCAAAATTTGCTTTATTTCATTCAGTATCGCCTCGAGGGGAAAAGTATATGAAGTAACTTTGAAAGTCTAACCTTTTTAAAGAACAATGATGTTAGTTTTTCATGCTCGTCAAGGCCGAAAACATTTCGGCCCACATGAGCATGAAAAGGTGTCCTTTTTTTTTCGAAATTTCTGTCCTTTTTTCAAAATTTAACGAATTATTGTGCCAAAACGGCTTCATGCTCAAAGCCAAAATTTTCCATTCTTACTTTGGACCATGATGGGTACCACATGAACATTTTCCGTCAATATCGGAGGGGATCATGCTCCGGCCTCTGGCTGATTTGAGATGGAATGACAGAGGAGAAAAAGAGTGCCTGTTTCTTCTAACTATTGTTAGATAATATATCAATCTAATGAAATGAAATTATCACAATGACAATAAGACTTACATGCCTGAAATGACTTGACTCAATACAAGTGTGGTAAAATGCAACTCTCTGAGCACAAGCCATGCGGACTACTTGCTCAATTTGACTTCATTGCCTTGCACTTATCTCAATTCAATTGGTGACTGATAAGGCACTGGAAGCAAGGAATTTTGATATCTCTTAGGCGTTGAATACAGAGAGGAGGCTGAAAGAGCATGAGATCAGAATAAATGAACTTCAGAAACAACTCGGGAATGAGACATCTAAACGTCAAGTGGCAGAGCAAAGGAATCGCGAGATCGAGAAACAGGTAAATGATAATGTCTCTTATTTAATCCCATTCCTGAGGAGTTGGTATAATTTTTTGAATGAGTTAAAAGTAAGAAAATTACTTTTAATTGCAGCCGCAAGTGCTGCAGCAGAAGCTGTCGAATGCATCGACCGAGGAGAAGGAAGGGAAAGACATGCTCAAAATGGAGAAGAATGCACATGAAGAAACAAAGCGAAAGCTATCCGAGATCGAAAGAAAGCTCAAGGTCAGTGAAAAACAGGTGTCACGTTCTCTTCCCTATTCCTTGCCATATTGTTTTGTCGGCGTTAATGGACGAGAAAAGTTTGGCTCCATAGGTAGCAGAGTTGCAGAGACAGTTGGCCATTTTGAAGGAAGAACCTGCACCTGTTAATGCAAGGAACAAAGAGTTAGCCTCCCAAACTCTGATGCTGAGTGAAGATCCAATAGTCCTTCTGGTAGTACAGCGGATTCAGGTATCCACAAATCAAACCCCTTTCCATTTTTCCATTAAGGTAAGTTTGTATGAGGTTTGTATAAATGTGCTTGGAGGGGAGCCGTGGGGAGTGCTGCAGGAGTATGGGATTAACGGGGTAAAGGGTCACACGGTAATGGAGGATGGGGTCAGTTACTGCGGGCCATCCAATCCTTATACGGTACAGTGATTGCAGGAGTGAACGGGATAAGCTAAGGACTCGTTCCTGGCACGTATGGGACTCCGTCAGGGTTGAGTTCTCATACCTGGGAATATACTGAATTATAATCATGACAGGCTTACAGATATAGCAAATCACGCAATTGCGCATTTTTTTTAAATCTGCACTCGGCACGCGTATCTAACACCAAAGGATTCCTAGCGCACAGAAGACCGAATTTTTCTTTGAACCAGGCTGAATTCCGAGATATTAACACAATTGTTGCAAGATAACGCTTAGAAAACGTGCGTAATGTCATATGAACAAGGTCTGCCGGTTTCATTTGCCGGACCCGTGATTATACGTAGCACCTGATCAATAGAGGTAATTCACCCGGTGAATAGAAACATGACGATGGTGTAAGAGTGACAAAAGAGCACATCATTCTGCAATTCTGCGTTTCGGAAGACAGACCTCCGCAAGGAAACTGCGGTGTGAATGGCAAATGGCGACGAACTGACGGTGCGCCCAGTATTTCCTCATGGACGCTTAAAATCACTGGATTCCAGACAGGAGGCGGGAGGCACTACAGTGAGCGATGCCACCATTCCCTTGCGAGTACAAAGGCAACCCCCGTCTCCTCGTTCATCCGATAGATGGGGAGACGAGAGCGAATCTCAGATTGTCCGTGAGAGTTGCCTTCCCTCCCTTACGTGAGATCAATTTGCAAATTTCTTCTCGAATCATCCTATGATGATAAGGAAGAGTTCTGTCGAAACCCAAAGTTCATATCTGTAAGCGTTTGGCCTGTAGAGCTATCACACACACACACACACACACGCACACACACACACGCACACACACACACACGCACACACACACACACACACGCACACACACACACGCACACACACACGCACACACACACACAAATGAATCAATTGTTGCTCGGCCTAGCTAGCGGCCCAGAATCGCGCACGCTACATGTTGAACGACGAATCAAAATAATGTGACGGATAAGGATGGCATCGAGAGGGTCGGACTGAATGTCCGGGGTTCGGTGGTGTAGTGGTAGCACACCTGGCCGGCAATCAGGAGGCCCGGGTTCAATTCCCGGCCGTTCCTTGGGTTCTTTCGTCCTCTCATGCCGTTCGTCCGAGGAACATTCCCCCCGTAACATCTGGTGCTCAGCGGTGGGATCGGCCCACACCTCCGGAGAGACTGGGTGGTTGACCGACCGAGGGAGAATTCCGGCAACGGTGAAGTCTGGAGGACCAGACTTAGTTACGAGAGGGAGTGGTGTGACGGATAAGGATAGCATTCGAGAGGCTCAACTGAATGTGCAGGGTTCGGTGGTGTAGTGGTAGCACACCTGACCAGCAATCAGGAGGCCCGGGTTCAATTCCCGGCCGTTCCTTGGCTTCTTTCGTCCTCTCATGCCGTCCGTCCGAGGAACATCCCCCCCGTAACAATAATTTAATAAAATCATAGGAACCGAAACGACAATGCAACATAGCGCGACCAAATCATTTCACCTTATTCAGCTCAATCAGCACGTCATTGGAGCATGGAGAACAAAGAACTCATATTCAAACCAAATATGGCCAAAAAGCCATATTCTACATAGGGATGCAATTTGAAAGCAGCATGGCACGCGTGCATCCGTTCGAATCGCGGATGAGCAAAGGAAAGCACTACCATGTCAGGCGGCTCTGGGATAAAAGGGAAAACAATGAGGGGAGAGTGAGCAAAGAAGTGGAGGAGCGTCTTCAAGCCTTTAGCTTGAAGCCATAGGGGGAGACATGTGGGAGATGAGTCAGTAGGTAGGTAGGTAAGTGGGTGTGGGGGGTGTGGTCAGGTTGGAGATGGGTCCACTTGAAGCCAAATGGTGAAGGGACGCTTATCCGAGTGGACCCATCTCAACCTGACCAGTTGAGATAGTGGGTGGGGGTTTTTGCCTATTTCCTCCTCTAGAACTCTGAAATGAAATTATCCATTGTCTTACCTTATTCAGATGCCTGATCTGCTAGCCTTCATAAAGGAAAACAAGGACAAGCTCATCGTCATCCATGTCTACTCACACGCACGTGTGAAGATTGTAGATGTGGAGAAGATAAAAAGGAGAATTGTGGAAAAATTGAGTCATGCAGTCTCCCTGGATGCAGATTTGGATGATACTGAAGTAATGGAGTTCTTCAGGTTAGACAAGAAAGAGAGTGACTATTTTATTATGGTGTTGTCACAGACGCAGGCAGATTTAGATGCCATTCATGGATATTTTTCCAATTGGGAATTTTCCAAAGCAAAAAAAACCAAAAGATTTCTTCGAAATCTTTTGGTTTTTGTTCGTACTTGTACTTGTTACTTGTTGGTACTTGGTACTTTTGGCGTTGTTTCCGTGGGCATTTTTTCGTATCGGCATTCTTGGCAAACGGGTCAGATGCTGGGACTTTATACTCATCAGATGCTGGGACTCGTTGAAGTTTTTTTTTTCCAACCGTCTGCTCATGCTGTTTTTCCAACAGCATGAGCTAGACGGATTCACGCAAATCCTCTCGCACATTCTCATTCCTCATTCCCCTTCCCCTCTCCCCTCCACTAAGCCTCTCCTGCCAGCACTTGCATGGCATCCGCCTTCTCCTCTCCTGTATCGCCGTCTCGAAGTGTGGACAATTGGGACATGCAGTCAACTCGCGTTAATCCGAACGCCGGTAATCCGGATCTTTCGGCAATACGGACATCTGGAATATTCCCGGCAGAAGTCCCATAGAATTGATGAATAGATTTTAAAAAATCAGCGAATTTAAAAATCAGCGAATGCCCCACATAATACGAGGTATTCAAATAAGACATACTGTTCCAAATGTATTTTGAACTCCCAGTTATCTAAAGCACGCATCATGTCATCAGAAGCTCCAATTTTCCCTCAGCGACAATTTCTGTGAGTTCTGCTACATAGGATTCAAGAGAAAATCGCCTTTAGAATTTTAAGCGCTCGCGTATACAGCCTTGCACTAGACGTGGATCGAATTATTAGGATCGATCTCATCCGAGGATTGGGCTATTGAGATTCAAGTTCGTGGTCAGATGCAAGGCGAACACTTCATCGGATACCTCGAGTTCTCGAGCTTAGAGACCTAAACGGTCTGCTGTCAAGCCCGATCGTTCCGACACGATCCGGGAAGAGGAAGCTATTGAGTTCGGGAAACGATGCCACGTGCTCAACAATGGAGGCTGCCTCGCTTCTCCCACCTTTTAAAGGAGTCCAACCATACCAAACTGGATTAAATATTTGCTCATTCGATATCTTATGAAGGGTTGAGGATAGGTCTTCCATCCTTGCAAGATTTTCTTTCTCTTACGTGGTCTTTCCAAACTGAGCTTTGCCACGAGTCTTATTCTCAAGCATTCAATTTCTCATATTCAATCACCTGTATTCAACCCGTATTGTTGTACCCCTGTATTGTTTTTCCCTAAATAAAGCTTCAAAATTAAAACGAAGCTCGTTTACTTCAATTGATTCTATTACATTGCAAAAGCTGCTCGAAATGCTGATGAATCGCGTCAATTGTCACTTTTCTCCAGAGATATGAAGCTTTCATTAATTAAGTTCATCGGTCATTGACGAGAATCACCTGCCGAGACTCTTACAACTACTCCACCCATGAGTGTCTGGTTGCCCCTTAGGCCTTGAAGAGTTTGAACATCATTACTTCAGCTGATCAGTTCAGCACGAGGCGATACAGTGCCATATAGAGCTCGGCCGACGATCAAATTCCGGGTCGGGTGTTGGACGTGTGATTCCACTCTAGCGGACCAGGTCGGATTCGAAAAATTAATCCGTGTAGGCCTCTGACAGCGGAGAGGTTAGAGGAGAGCAAGAAAAACGAACAGAAATAAGGAGGAAATCATAAGCGAGTAGTATGAGGAAAAAAACAGGGAAGGATCGCTGGCGCCTCACATCTGTGGACAGGGGGTAGCGGGTAGGGAAAGAAAATCTAGGCAAATGAGAGACTACAAGAGGAGAGCGAGGGAGGAAATGATAGTGCGTCGTCTGCTGCAATTTACATATACAGAAACGAGGACACCATTCAATAACCTAGAAAGACGATTCAAGTGCCATCTAAATCGTGGATCAATCTGCCATATGATGCGCGGAAGCAGTGTGGGGAATTATGGGAGGGAGGAGGCATGCAGGGGAAAACGTGACCGTTTCCTGCAGGATTCTCCGACTTGACATCAGTCAAAGCAATATAAATCAGAAAATTATGAATATAATTGGCGTAGCCCTTCATGACAGTCGTCCTTGTCCGGCTTGATGACGTCATCCAGTATAAGGGAAATGGCTGCATTTCCCAACCTCAAAAGAATCCAATAATCTACTATGGATCCGTGGTTCCGTTTTGTGTGCTTCAGTTTTAAACTATATGTGTCATTCGAAACCCGTTGGCGATAACTATTGGGTCGAGAGCTCAAAAAGTTCAACCATTTTCACATCATGAGGCCTACTTTCCGTGATAAGAATGACATCGTACTGAATGCCTTCCTGATTGAAGTTGAACTCCTATTCTACGGCGGGATCTACAGAACGTGCGAGGAAGAGAGATCTTCTGGAGTCACAATCACAGTGGAATGAAGAGCATGACGACGTTCACAAAACGCTGCTTCGCAGGCTGCTTCCAGGAACTGACAAAGAAAGAGCAGAAAGTCATTCAAGAAATGTTTGGGTTCGACTTATTTCAACCCGTGCACGCACGGGAGCATGATTCATTACGGAGTACTGTCAGGAAAAGCATTTCTCATGTCATTTTCTCTATTTAATTAATTGTGTCATTCTCTTGTGAACCATTTCCACCAAAACGACCCCTGGACATGAAGCAGACTGGGTGGCATTTAATTTTTGGCTATTGTCCCTGAACAGAAAAAACGTCAGTTGAGCAGTTCTCAGATTAGGACCTCACTGGTATCAGAATTTTAAAAAATCCATAAAAGAAGGACATTTATACGCGTAATAGGTTGATTGCCACCAAAGTTCGCTGATGTGTATCATTGGGGAGCTGTCCTGTCGGGGAATTGACCGTCGTGGAATTGACTGGACAACATGTTATGCACATGTTTGTGGATTTTTCTTTTATTATTTTATTAGCTGAATTGATTTAAAAGCAACAGACAAGGGAAGCCATTTCATGTTACTTCATGATTCACTCCTGTACCACATACCTCCATACGGAATACCCATACGGTATTCCCCGTATGGTAAAAGTTTTTTAAATCGAAATCCCCAATTGGAAAAATATCCATGAATGGCATCGAAATCTGCCTGCGTCTGTGACAATACCATAATAAAAAAGTCACTCTCTTTCTTGTCTAACCAGAAGAACTCCATTACTTCAGTATCCTCCAAATCTGCATCCAGGAAGACTGCATGACTCAATTTTTCCACAATTCTCCCTTTTATCTTCTCCACATCTACAATCTTCACACGTGCATGTGAGTAGACATGGATGACGATGAGTTTGTCCTTGTTTTCCTTTATGAAGGCTAGCAGATCATCAGGCATCTGAATAAGGTAAGACAATGGATAATTTCATTTCAGATATCAGAGGATGAAATAGACAAAAAAAACCCCACCCGCTATCTCAACTGGTCAGGTTGAGATGGGTCCACTCGGATAAGCGTCCCTTCACCATTTGGCTCCAAGTGGACCCATCTCCAACCTGACCCCCGCCCCCACCTACCTACCTACCTACCGACTGACTCATCTCCCCCTGTCTCCTCCTATCCCTCCTAATCCTAATCCCTCCTATCCGTTCACCCTTTTCCTATTCCCCTCCCTGGGATTCGAACCAGCATCCCCTGCATTGAAGCTGAGCTCCCTCCCACTACATCATACACCACCCATCATATACTCCGTTTCTTATTGAATATAGTTCCTTCAGTCCTTGGCTCCTCCTCCTCTTCTATAGCCCTGCACTGCAGCCATGCATCATCCCGCGGTTCTCTTCCCCCCCTCCTTTCGCACCGCACCGGCACCGGCATTGAACACCTCCTGATGCCTGACGTATAATTCTCTCTCAGAATAGATCCGAAATTAAAGGGAAGAATGAATGCGGAGCGAGAATGACACCCGGGAATGACACCCAGGGCTTGCATTGCATTGACGCGTCAGCTAGTAGCTGTTAGTGACAGCAAAGACAGCAAAGTGTCATTCATTGTGAAATAAATCATTGTTTCTCAAGATGATAATCCTGGGATGCATAAATATTATATGCAAATTGGTAAACGCGAGTTCTGAAGCGCAGAGGGAAAATTCTGAGAATAAAGGCCATTCCTTGGGTCCTCCCGTCACCGTCCAGGTGCGAGTGCGAAAAGAAAATGAGATGTAGGGAGCATCAATCAAATCGGCTGTTCCAGAAACGGAGTATATGATGGGTGGTGTATGATGTAGTGGGAGGGAGCTCAGCTTCAATGCAGGGGATGCTGGTTCGAATCCCAGGGAGGGGAATAGGAAAAGGGTGAACGGATAGGAGGGATTAGGAGGGGGGGGGGGGGGGGGGGGGGGGGGGGTAAGAAAGATGTCCTCCCTGCCCTGGAAAGGTATTTTTAGAATTCTGGGAAGCTTGAAAGGAGAAGACGCTCCTCCGCTTCTTTGCTCACTCTCCCCTCATTGTTTTCCCTTTTGTCCCAGAGCCGCCTGACATACTAGTGCCTTCTTTTGCTCATCCGGGATTCGAACGGATGCACGCGTGCCATGCTGCTTTCAAATTGCATCCCTATGTAGGATATGGCATTTTGGTTTGAATATGAGTTCTTTTTTCTCCATGCTCCAATGACGTGCTGATTGAGCTGAATAAGGTGAAATGCCATAGGTCGCGCTATGTTGCATTGTTCTTATTTTGATGTTTTGCATGTTCCTATGATTTTATTAAATTATTTTGCTTCGCCGTTCAACATATAACGTGCGCGATTCTGGGTCGATAGCTAGGCCGAACAACAATTGATTCTTTTTTGTTTTGTTTGTGTGTGTGTGACAGCTCTACAGGCCAAACGCTGACAGATATGAACTTTGGGTTTCGACAGAACTCTTCCTTATCATCCGAGGATGTTTCGAGATGAAATTTGCAAATCGATCTCATGTAAGGGAGGGAAGGCAACTTTCACGGACAATCTGAGATTCGCTCTCGTCTCCCCATCTATCGGATGAACGAGAAGACGAGGGTTGCCTTTTTACTCGAACCGGTTGAACACGCTCTTAAGTTCCTGTGGAGGCCAGGAAAAAAGAATAGCATCGTCAGCAAAAAGACATCATTGATGCTGAACCCCTCGAGGCCCATGCTTAGTCTACAGATCTCCTGTAGAAAATGAAAAATAAAGGAGTGAGAACGCAACCCTGACGGAGTCCCATACGTACCAGGAACGAGTCCTTAGCTTATTCCGTTCACTCCTGCAATCACAGTACCGTATAAGGATTGGATGGCCCGCAGTAACTGACCCCATACTCCTGCAGCACTCCCCACGGCTCCCCTCGAAGCACTTGTATACAAACCTCATACGAGCTTACTTTAATGGAAAAATGGAAAGGGGTTTGATTTGTGGATACCTGAGTCAGCTGTACTGCCGGAAGGATTATTGGATCTTCCCTCAGCATCAGAGTTTGGGAGGCTAACTCTTTGTTCCTTGCATTAACAAGTGTAAGTTCTTCCTTCAAAATGGCCAACTGTCTCTGCAACTCTGCTACCTATGGAGCCAAACTTTTCTCGTCCATTAACGCCGACAAAACAATATGACAAGGAATAGGGAAGAGAACGTGAGAACCTGTTTTTCACTGTCCTTGAGCTTTCTTTCGATCTCGGATAGCTCTTGCTTTGTTTCTTCATGTGCATTCTTCTCCATTTTGAGCATGTCTTTCGCTTTCTTCTCCTCGGTCGATGCATTTGACAGCTTCTGCTGCAGCACTTGCGGCTGCAATTAAAAGTAATTTTCTTACTCTTAACTCATTCAAAAAATTATGCTCTTCAGGAATGGTATAAAATAAGAGACCTTATCTTTTAGCTGTTTCTCGATCTCGCGATTCCTTTGCTCTGCCACTTGACGTTTAGATGTCTCATTCCCGAGTTGTTTCTTAAGTTCATTTATTCTGATCTCATGCTCTTTCAGCCTCCTCTCTGTTTCCAACGCCTAAGAGATATCAAAATTCCTTGCTTCCAGTGCCTTATCAGTCACTAACTGAATTGAGATAAGTGCAAGGCAATGAAGCCAAAGTGAGCAAGTAGTCCGCATGGCTTGTGCTCAGAGAGTAGCATTTTACCACACTTGTATTGAGTCAAGTCATTTCAGGCATGTAAGTCTTATTGTCAGTGTGATAATTTCATTTCATTAGATTGATATATTATCTAACAATAGTTAGAAGAAACAGGCACTCTTTTTCTCCTCTGTCATACCATCTCAAATCAGCCAGAGGCCAGAGCATGATCCCCTCCGATATTGACGAAAAATGTTTATGTGGTACCCCTCATGGTCCAAAGTAAGAATGCAAAATTTTGGCTTTGAGCATGGAGCCGTTTTGGCACGATAATTCGTTAAAGTTTGATAAAATGACAGAAATTTCGAAAAAAGGACACCTTTTCATGCTCATGTGGGCCGAAATGTTTTCGGCCTTGACGAACGCAGCGAACATCATTGTTCTTTAAAACGGTTAGACTTTCAAAGTTACTTCATATACTTTTCCCCTCGAGGCGATACTGAATGAAATAAAGCAAATTTTGCCATATTCAGAAATTTTCAAAATGTCAACATCTTCATAAANTGAAGAAAGATGCCCTGGAAAGGTATTTTTAGAATTTTGGGAAGTAAAGGCTTGAAGACGCTCCTCCACTTCTTTGCTCACTCTCCCCTCATTGTTTTCCCTTTTGTCCCAGAGCCGCCTGACATACTAGTGCCTTCTTTTGCTCATCCGCGATTCGAACGGATGCACGCGTGCCATGCTGCTTTCAAATTGCATCCCTATGTAGAATATGGCTTTTTGGCTTTTTGGTTTGAATATGAGTTCTTTTTTCTCCATGCTCCAATGACGTGCTGATTGAGCTGAATAAGGTGAAATTCCATAGGTCGCGATATGTTGCATTGTTCTTATTTTGATGTTTTGCATGTTCCTATGATTTTATTAAATTACTTTTGCTTCGCCGTTCAACATATAACGTGCGCGATTCTGGGCCGATAGATAGGCCGAGCAACAATTCATTCTTTTTTGTTTTGTTTGTGTGTGTGTGACAGCTCTACAGGCCAAACGCTTACAGATATGAACTTTGGGTTTCGACAGAACTCTTCCTTATCGAGGCTCCTACAAAGCTCTACTTTAAACGTTTAGCTAGAGTACATTCCCTCCCTTCCGTTGAAAGTGCCTGTTAGACTCTAAGCGAGAGCAGAGGGGTAGATAGCCTACTTGCTCTTCTGCTCCCAACCCTTTTTACTCGAACCGGTTGAACACGCTCTTAAGTTCCTGTGGAGGCCATTAAAAAAGAATAGCATCGTCAGCAAAAAGACATTGATGCAGAACCCCTCCAGGCCCATGCTTAGTCTACAGACCTCCTGTAGAAAATGAAAAATAAAGGAGTGAGAACGCAACCCTGACGGAGTCCCATACGTACCAGGAACGAGTCCTTAGCTTATTCCGTTCACTCCTGCAATCACAGTACCGTATAAGGATTGGATGGCCCGCAGTAACTGACCCCATACTCCTGCAGCACTCCCCACGGCTCCCCTCGAAGCACTTGTATACAAACCTCATACGAGCTTACTTTAATGGAAAAATGGAAAGGGGTTTGATTTGTGGATACCTGAGTCAGCTGTACTGCCGGAAGGATTATTGGATCTTCCCTCAGCATCAGAGTTTGGGAGGCTAACTCTTTGTTCCTTGCATTAACAAGTATAAGTTCTTCCTTCAAAATGGCCAACTGTCTCTGCAACTCTGCTACCTATGGAGCCAAACTTTTCTCGTCCATTAACGCCGACAAAACAATATGGCAAGGAATAGGGAAGAGAACGTGACAACCTGTTTTTCACTGTCCTTGAGCTTTCTTTCGATCTCGGATAGCTTTTGCTTTGTTTCTTCATGTGCATTCTTCTCCATTTTGAGCATGTCTTTCGCTTTCTTCTCCTTGGTCGATGCATTTGACAGCTTCTACTGCAGCACTTGCGGCTGCAATTAAAAGAAATTTTCTTACTTTTAACTCATTAAAAAAATTATGCTCTTCAAAAATGGTATAAAATAAGAGACCTTATCTTTTAGCTGTTTCTCGATCTCGCGATTCCTTTGCTCTGCCACTTGACGTTTAGATGTCTCATTCCCGAGTTGTTTCTTAAGTTCATTTATTCTGATCTCATGCTCTTTCAGCCTCCTCTCTGTTTCCAACGCCTAAGAGATATCAAAATTCCTTGCTTCCAGTGCCTTATCAGTCACTAACTGAATTGAGATAAGTGCAAGGCATACTTCGGTTTCACTCGTTCATCAGGCGTACCGAACACGAGTCTCTCATCGTAAAATGGTGTGAACATAACTCAGTTCAGTAAAGTCCGTACATTCAGAATAACAGTCACACTATTAAAGTAAAGTAAAGATTGATATATTTTCTAACAATAGTTAGAAGAAACAGGCACTCTTTTTCTCCTCTGTCATACCATCTCAAATCAGCCAGAGGCCAGAGCATGATCCCCTCCGATATTGACGAAAAATGTTCATGTGGTACCCCTCATGGTCCAAAGTAAGAATGCAAAATTTTTGGCTTTGAGCATGGAGCCATTTTAGCACGATAATTCGTTAAAGTTCGAAAAAAGGACAGAAATTTCGAAAAAAGGACACCTTTTTATGCTCATGTGGGCCGAAATGTTTTCGGCCTTGACGAACGCAGCGAACATCATTGTTCTTTAAAAAGGTTAGACTTTCAAAGTTACTTCATATACTTTTCCCCTCGAGGCGATACTGAATGAAATAAAGCAAATTTTGCCATATTCAGAAATTTTCAAAATGTCAGCATCTTCATAAAACCTTACCATCATGTATGTTTTCGGAATCAGCGGGAAAAGATCTAATGATGTGTGTCCCATTTTTGTCCCAACCAATTCCACTTAAGGAGATGCGATGACTTGAAATATGCAAAAAGCACAAATTTCGGAAAACAAACTTTTTGAATTATATGGTGCCAATTTCTATGCAGCTCAAAAAACTTGAAAAATTTGCAGAATGTCTGTCATTTACTTGAGTAAAAGATAAGAGCAATTTCAAAGCTCATATATATTTTTTTAAGGCATACCACGCATTTTTTTCAAACCCCACCTCACAACTTCTACCGTTGTTTTTAAGTCCAAAATTTTTCCTTTGATTACAGTCAGAAAAAAATTTGAAAAACTGGTAATGGAAACTCTAGGGTTCTTTGGCTTTCTTCCTTGTCCTTATGTGTTCTACAAATAAAAAACGATTGGGAACCACTGCTCTATCGTATCCAGCTTGAGATGCAATGCAATGCAATTCAGAGGACCTAAGACCTAATAATTCATCCATGCCATAAATGCAATGCAATGGAAACTCATTAACTCGAATCCTGAAAAGTCTAAATTATGCTAATCTCGAAATTCAATGGACAGCGGATTAAAAAAATTTAGCAATTGCTCAAGGCGTGCAATCGGCAACATTTTCTTGCCTATTGCTCGCACTTTGCAAAAAAGTTGGGCATTGCATGCAATTAGCACGAGAGTTGCTTTTTTATGAAATACGCAAAAGCGTTGCGAAATGCGCGCAATGAGCAGTTGCACGAATCACGCATAACATATACATGAGGCAAGTTTGTTGGCAAGTGCTTGCTAGCAAGTTCTTTTGCATTGTGTGTCAGGGTCTTTAGGACAGAAACATCGTCCTCTATTTTTATTTATTAGATATTTTGTCAAGGGGTGGAGGCAATTCCTGTTAAGTTGAACTATGTTGTAGATAGCTCGAAACGATTTGCCTGGTCTCTTAACCTCTTCAGACCCATGGCATGTACACATGCCAAATATCAGATTTTCAAAACCTCTGCTCAAATCTCTTTTTCGTCGTAAATCACGCTGTCATCCATATCAGGATTAACCTGCGCCTCATTGGACTCTGTCTACTTCATAGCAGAGGCTTTTGGACTTATGGGAGTATGGCGTCACGCGTCGTCTGCGGTCATTATAGCTCTTTTCGATTGCTAATTATTGACCTCAAAGTTATGATGCACGTTGAATTGCATTGATAAAAAAGTGTGGGAAACTATTTAGAAGTAAAGGAAAATCTGACCTTTACAGAGTTCTTATGGGATAGGTCAAACTGTAGATAAATGCATGTACACATGCCGCAAGGCATTGCACCAGTTCATTTCCGTTTCTGTTCAATTACACAGAACTCCTTGATCAGCTTGGAGACGGTGACATTGATCTACCTGAGAACTATGATGATGCGCTCTAACGCTCCCAGCACAGGCTGTCGAAACCGAAGAGGAAGACCAGAAATAAGACTAAGACATGGACAGCGGCAGATTCAGGGGAGGAGTGGCACCCCCATGATTGTTTCAGGTAGTCCCAGACAATCTCTTCCAGTTCATTCTCTCAGGTTACAGGAAGCATGCTCCCCCCTCCCCGAAAAACGCTTGGATCTGCCGCTGGACATGGATGTCATATGACAGGAAGATACCTCCAGCTTCATTACCCGCAAAGGAAGCCACATCTTGTGGTGCTGTTCGCACACCGGATGCTTGTAAAAGTCAGAACCACAGCATGGGGGACAAGTATTTAGAAATTACTGACCTCTTCGAATGGGGTGGAGGAGGAGGCTAAGGAGAGTGTTGGGGTACCGCGATGCTTCAGTTTTATCGACATACCGTCCAGTCCAAATTCATACTATTTTCGACACAATGACTGTGATAGGGTCAAGAAACTT